TTTACAAACATTATGAAATCTATAGGAGATTGGAATATCGTTCCAAATACGGTCTTCCTATATTTATATAACTTTGTAGAAGCTGCCATTGTGGACCGGTCACGATAGCCTTCTGCTCGACTAATAACAGTAGTTTACGTTTCAGTAAATTCAATAAAGAATCGAACCATGATATATAACAACTTTACGTGCATACACACTGCTCCTTAACTAAGCCCATACATTTCCATTTATATGCATAGTGAAGTTATCACTTTGGCTAACTAACTTAATCTACGACGGCATCTAACGGCAGTTAAGGCCGTACTTGTACAGCAAATATTTATAATTACGTCGTAACTGATTTAGGCAACGTCTATGAAAGAACATGAACAGCGTATGAGAAAGCTATATAGTCTTCTACAAAACATACACACACATATGGATGCTTAATGTGAGAGAAAGCCGAAAATTCAACGTCACACTGACATAATTTCATTATCAAGTAAAAATTTTATAGTGGACCAAGGTGTCCTTTTACTCAAATTCCCTACGTTATTCATATAATAATTTGTAAAAATTATAAGGCGTTATAAGGGGAAACGGTTGAAAACGTAGCCTGATTCGAATATCTCAAAAAGATGCACCGATGGACAGACAGAAGTAGAAGATCTATGCAAAAAATTATTCTAAATCGATCGATATAATAAACGGTGAGTCTATATCATGGATATCACACTAGTTCAGGGCTAACAGGTAGATAAATAATTTGAAGACGACTTCTAATCTCCGATTAATCTGCTTCCGAGTTTAATCTGCTAATGGAATTTAAAAAATAAAAAAAGGAAAAATCTCCCTGGTATGAAACAACAGCCTCGAAATCCAAGATACGTTTCCGCGAACATATAATGAACGTAAGTAAGATTTGATGATTTTTTTTTTTTTTTTACATTTTACATTTAATTTTCTTGAAACGAACAATTATTATAATAATTTTGATTTTCGCGAATCAAACATTTGACAAACTGATTATACTTAGCAAGAGATAAGTGTAACAAGACCAGCATTTGGGTTAAATTGGAAAGATAGATAAATGTTGAAAATTGTGACTAATAAGCAGCTTTATGATCAAGATCGTTACAAGTTGCCTTTTTCTTTAAAGAAAATAAATAAAAAAAAAAAATATAAAAAAAAATAAAAAAATGAACAAAAATTAATTACTTTTTAACACAATTTGGGAGGTTTTCTTAAATAATGATGACTTTGTTTTACAAACAAAAACGACGTCATTACTTGCAGTGAGCGTATTGCGATAAAGACAAAGTTGCCCAGTAGTACTACGTATGTTTAAGTACAGCAAGCAAACATTGCAAATTAATTGTTTTGATAATTTCGACTTTTTTTTTTTTTT